ATGCCTACACTCATGATCTGCAGTGGTGCAGTTGCTGCTATGCAGTGGTTTAAGTATGGGCATACCCTTATTTCTGGAGGAAGAGACAACTTAGCAGAAATAGGAGAATCTCATCCTTTTATAAGTACATTGAAAGTAACTTTGAGTGGCTCATATTCAGAACATTCCAGTCCTACAAAGTAACATAAGTTTTCAAAGGAATTACAAATCTCAAAGTTTCTGTAAGCCTACCAGACTTGTATGGTTAACTTTTCCAGTGAGCAGAAAAAAAGTCACCTATCAAATATAACTTTTCAAGGTTAAACATTTATAAAATGATTCTTTCAAAATAAAATAATGGAGGAAAGAGGGAAATAATTCTATGCTAGGTTTCACTCATGTTTTTTCCAGCCTCACATTGCATCACTATTTTTAATGTAAGCATCCTTTTGATCCTATATTCTGATGTTGTAGCAACAGATCCCTTGATAATCATAACCATGAGACTGGAAGAGACCTCCAAAGGTCATCTAGTCCAGGCCCCTACACTAAAGGGAGAACTAGGTATTAACTAGAGCATCCCTGATGAGTGTTTTCTAATAACGGGATTCCACAGTCTTACTGGACAATTTATGCCAGGGCTTAAGCCCCCTGACAGTTAGGAAGTTTTTCCTTAATGTCAGCAGAAACTGCCCTTTCTACAATTCAATCCCATTGTTTCTTATACTACCCTTAGGGGGTAAAGGAGAATAATTTTCAGCAGAAACTGCCCTTTCTACAATTCAATCCCATTGTTTCTTATACTACCCTTAGGGGGTAAAGGAGAATAATTTTCTCCCTTATCCTTGTAATAATCTTTCATATATTTGAAAATTATCATATCCCTCCCTTGGTCTTCTCTTCTCCAGGTCCAATTTTTTTCAGACTTCCATCATAAGTCATGTTTTCTAGACTTTTAATATTTGTATTACTCTTCTCTGGACTTTTTCCAATTTGTCTGCATCTTTCCTGAAATGTGGCACCCAGAATTGGATACAATACTCCAGTGAAGGCCATATCAGCGCAGAATACAGCATAATTATGACATTTAAAATAAATATTGCATTTTAATATAATTTATTTGGAGAGAAATCCCCCAGTAATTATATTTTTTTCTGTACAATATTTGCCCAAATCAAGTAGGAAGATTGTGTTTCTAGGTTTTGGCACTGAAATTTAAAAATGGGTTTTTCATATCCATTGCACTACTCAAATTCAGTCCCCTCAGCTACCTCTGATGCTGCCCAACAGTTACCAGTGCTGAGAATGCTGGTGAAAGTTAATCTCCTGCATGCAAGAATCATGCCATAAATCTGCAGCACAATAAGAATGTGCCCTGTGAGTGTGAGGGATCCTGCAGTATGGACAGAGGTATAGAGCTAACCACTGATCACTGAAAGTGTACTTATTGGCATAAATCCCACTGGAAAATATTTTCACTGTTACTTTTCATCTAGCTTTCAGGTACCTTTCATTGATACCAAATGCCATGTTAAATAGTACTATATACAGAAATAGGATCCAATATTGCAAGAAATAGTCAAGGACATTCGTATGGATTAGCGTTGCATGGCAATCAATGGGTGGCTTCTCTCATCAGGTAATACTCAGCATGACCAAGAGCTTCAGAATCTGACCAAAAGTGATTTCACTGGGGTACGAGTAAGGGTTTTCAGGTGAAGGCTAATAGAGAAAAGGGGAAATGAAGAGTGTAGTATTTGCTCTCTGTCTCATTCAAACAAATAGCACCCACTTTAAAGCTCACAATCATCTATTCTCTCTTTCTGAAAGAATGCTGCATGTCTGAAGAAACCATTGCATATTCTAGACTACATATAAGTTATCAAGCAGCTCAGTCAAATATGAGTCTTTCACTGACCTTATCAGAGCACTCATCAACTATTTTTTTGACAACAGCTCTCAGGAAATGTTTCCAGAATGAGCAAATATGTAGCATCTTTTGGACATTAGTAGCAACTTATATTAAATGCAGTTGGCTTGTTTTTCTTGAAAATATTCCCACCCCACACTGTGGACAGACACATGGATAGATAGACGGATGCACACAGTAAATTTAAAACATAGCTGCATACATCATCAAGAGCCTCAGGACTAGCTTTCCAACATCTCCATGCAAAAAAAAAGGTCAATACCAATTTTCTAGTTGCTCTATCTGATTAAAATAGTTCTATGTTCAGAATAAACTAATTCAAGCAGAACTTATTTTAAAAATGGCATAGAAACCAATAGTATCTGTCCAATATAGCCTGTTATGTGAATAGTATAGGAAGAAAGAGCCCCCTAATGGTTTTAAATTAATTATGAAAATAAATAGATTTCAGATTCCTGAGTTATTGGTGGAACCCAGAAACAAAATGATTTTCTGAATGGGAAAAAATTAGTAATTAGGGTAAATGGTTTATATTATTCAGTCAAAGTATGAAACAAAGAGGTGTGTTGAGTGTCTGTGCTCAAAAAGTCAAAGGAAATGAACAGTTTAAACTACGTAAGTCCAGTTTGAGACAGACAAGTATTTACAAAGTAAACTCAATTATGTGAACCCAGGACTGACAAAAGGGAACCCTGCATGTGTAAAATGTATGCACAAACACTGTAAATACATTTTAATAACACAATCTCAAAACAAAACAAAAGGCTTTGAATCTTTCCATTTTATATAAATAACTATTCCACTGAGTGTTGCTAGTAGAAAAATAAAAGCTTTGTCATTTTCTTTTAGCATTTCATGATGAGCATTGAAGTATTAATTCTTTTAGATACTTTTTTCTGGGGGCCTTGTTGATAATACACCTCGTGGATGTAAATTAAAATTGATACATATTTTGCAATTTTATATGTGGGAAATGGGGGGAATCCTGATGAGGAAAAGAACCAAGAACCATCAGTGACGCCTCTTTCATAAGTGGTACATTAAAAGAGCACAGGTTTGATAAACAAGCATGTCTGCACGGACAAAAGGCAGAGGTGGAACATGAAATCTTTTCTGAAGCTCTTAATCAAAGCTATGCCAAAAAAAAAAAAAATCTGTAAATGTTACCCTCAATGCTACATATTTAAAGAGACAGGCTTGTATTTCATAGGAGCTAAGAGAGTTAGGGTTTCAGCTCCTAAGAAAATTCAGTGGGAGTTGTTTGAAAAATTCCACCATAACCAATATGCTTGCTAACTCCTTCAGTACTTGACACATAACCTGTGCTCTCTTATTATTGTCAGTGTTTCCCCCTCTCTTACTTTTGGACTGGATTCTGACACTTACTTATCTTGCACAGTACTGTATCCTGGTCAGCAGTCTGACTTATTTTATTGGGACTGTTCCTGTAGAGAGGCCCTGTCCAATGCATAATCCTAAATGAGTACCTGATTACCTGTGAAGAATATCACAGGAGAAAAGGCTAGAAATATTATATGTATAAATTGTGTTTATAAACTATAGAGAGAGACTGTGACAATTTATATACACTATGTTAAAGCAGAAAGCTGAACAGAACAAACATATACTGTTTTTTTTTAAGGTTTGCCAATTTGCATCTCTATTTTTAGTAATTTTTTCATAAAGTATATAAAAATGAACCAAAGTTCCTCATTCACCCATTTAAGTATGCACTATTATAAAAAGTGAACTGAATAATTATGAATAAGTTATATCATGTTATATCACTTGTGGCATTTTGTAGTTACCAGGTGAAATGATATTATTTAATATTTTAATGCTACATACAGTCCAAAGTTAAAATATTTGGGGGAGGAAAAAAGTAATTGAAACATATTTATTGATTGGTTATCATTACCAGAGGTAGACTGCAAATTAGGGATTAAAAGCTCAGACATTTTAGGATCAGTAACCTGTGAAAATTTCTTAGCTGGATGACCCACGGGAAAGTTGTGCCTGCTTGTAAGAATACATGCTCAAATTATTAGATTAACGGAGTGACTTACTCCATCCTACTCAGTTAGAAAATTAAATTGGCTGGGAATATAAAACATCCTATTGTCTGGTATCAAGACATAGAAAGCATAAACATGAATGGTGATGCAAATCATCACAATTGGAAAGAATATGACATGAATGCCTTTTGTTTGAAGTCACAGGGCTCTTTTTAGCTTTACTCTTCTGTCTCCTATAAACCAAAGTCAATCAACTTCCTGACTGCTGCATAGCCTAAAGCTCAATTATTTCTTTTCTAACCTAATACCTTGCACAGTGGTAATGAAACTGTCCCCCACCAGCTGAGGGATGTATGTAATATATGACAAGTTTACATAGAGCAAAAGGTGCCGTAAAGGAGGGTATTTTCAATGTCACACCAGAACAGGCAATCAGCCCGATAGGACTGTCACATCAGGCACAGAATAACTGAAATATTCAAGAATTCATGTTTCAGCTCCTAAACCTTGGTCTTTTCTTTGCAAGCAGAATGTGAGCTATAATTGCCATATCTATAATAAGATGGCAGTCTAATGCCATATCATTTAAGACATATCATGTTTATGCAGCAGTGGTTAGCTTACCATCAAAAGAGAGAATCTGTGTTAAACTACTAACAAGCTTAAGTGAAATGCCTGCCTTACCTGCCTGCACAAATAGGAGCAGTCAAGAATTAATAATACAGGAGAGCCTTATTGCTATGCTGTTATTGCCCTAAACTGCTTAGTGTCTGTGGGACAGTTTGCATTATAACATTGCACAAGCAGATAGAAAAATGTCATTTTACCCACTTCAATTTCACATAGTTGGGGACAAAAGTATAATCATGATTTTTCACAATCCAGAGCTCCCTCCTAATTCTCTCTGCATAGCATTTTATACCTATTCATCTGAGAATGACAGAAAACTATGCACAATAAATACATGCTGTACATGAAAGCCAAAGCTTGTAGATATATTTTTAAAATGCAAAATATACAGAAGAGTAATGCATTTTTATTAGCAGCTGAGAAAGGACAAAGAAAAACATCCTTACCTGGAGGATTAAACTGTGTTGATCATCGGTGCTGTGTGGGTTTAGTGGGGAGAGGGCAAATTTTTGTTTTCAGTAATGAATCTCTTCTTCAGAGATGAAGATTGTTAAGAGATAGGTAAAATGAACTATTCCAAGGTCCAGTCTGCTATCGCTTGCCCAGGCTTTGGGCTGACATCCTCTTGTGAAGGAAAAGGCAGCTCAGTAAGTTGTCCACTGAGGGAGCTAGGTATCAGTGTTATCAGGCACCAGCAGTCACATACTGATTCTATAGTACATATTCTCTCCCTCTCTTGCTCTCTCAGCTCTGAGTCTAAGCTCCTTCTGCTGCTGTATAATCAATCTAGCCTGTCTGAATCTAACAGGCCTCTATTTAACCAGCCAATCAAGAGAAAGGATTCCATTGCTGATCCCCAGGGTCTTTTCCAGAAGTGGTACACACTATATGAGTTTTTGCAGCAGTTTAAGCCAAGTATTTTTCAGTATTTTATCTCCCTTAGAAAGCTAATGTTTAGGAGATCCCAGCTTCGAAGCTAGCCTTGTCTCTGTGCTCTCTCATGTGAATTATTACACTCACTGTGCTGCAGCAGCATTCTGAAACCTTCCCCTCTCTCTCCGATTTCAAATGTTTTGGAATAGGAATGCTAAAGATGGACCTGAGCAGCAACTTCCTGATCAAAGCACTTGAAAATTGGGGTATTAGAAATCCAGTTCTGAGTTTTGGAAGTTGGCTGTATCTCTAGTAAATACAGAAAACAAATAGTATATGCTGACTAGAAGGGAAAACGTGCCTTGCTGTCATAGATGGAGAACCAGGCTCCTTTCTTATGTTCTTCATAATTCCATTTATTCTGCAATCCCTAACAATTCCCTACTGTAGCTTACAAATAAAACATTGGGAGGGTCACTGCACGGTAATATGAATGAGCATTATGTCACCTCAAAATGCTTTATCCTGAATAGCTATTCCAATGATTATGGAAAACTTTACAGGAAAATGGATCAGCAAGCTGGTGGATCTGGATCAGAATTGTGACCCAGTTTCGACGCTGAAACAATTGATGTGTAACTGCTGTCATGTTTGTGTCTCTGCAAAATTTGTCTCATTGACTCCAGGTGCTCCCCCTCCATTTCATGTTGATACTACCAGAGAAGCTGCTCTCTTGCTTACAAATACTGACAATTATTGCTCTCAGCAGACAATTAAAAAAACCAACCTCCTAATGAGCATAAACAAACAATGTGACTCCATCAACCATGTTGCCTTTTTTAAGAACTATGAATGTTTTGCTGATCCAGATATTTCTGTGCTGAGTCAGAGAGCATGTGCATACAAATGTGCATATACTCCCATGTGGAACAACTGACTTGCAGTACAAATTGCTCAATGGCATTTGTATCAATTCTATGACTTGCACTACCTATTAAGGTTATTAAGCCATAGTTCACATACACATTAGCTTCAGCTTACCCATTTTTACCACCAAATATCATAATATCCAGTTGCAGATTCCTCACCTAGACACTATATTTCTTCTCAATACCAACGTATTAACAACCACAGCACACACATCGAGTTCCTCACAAAGTCAAATGTGCAGCCTGAATTCCTACCATGAGTAGGTGAAAATAAATCACCTTTCTGCATGCACGATTGTGAAATGTATCATTTTACATGTAAATATAATTGTTATGAAAATAGTTATACATTTTACATGTAAATGTAACAGTCTATCAAATCATGACTGGTATGGAAAAAGTGAATAAGGAAAAGTTGTTTACTTATTTGCACAATATAAGGGGGCACCAAACAAAATTAATAGGCAGCAGATTTAAAACAAACAAAAGGAAGTTTTTCTTCACTCAGTCAACCTGTGGAACTCCTTACCAGAGGATGCAGCTGTTACACAGAGGATGCTTAAGCCTAGATTTGCAATCTGATTACTACTAATTAATTAATTAAACCTCAGTGGAAGTTGCAGATACCACCAAACCTCATCTATCATAGGTGTTTGTTGATTAACTTGCTGCAGAGAAATAAAAACGTTACACAATTTAAAGGGGCCATACCATATATTGTAAAATTTAAAAGGTACAACAAGGAAATAGGTGAACACTCTTAATATCCCAACCCAAGAAGAAATAGGAGGATAGTAAAGTACCCCACAAACACAAGGATTACACGGACAATAATTACACTATCCAGCTGTCGACGATGGACGTGATGCACCTGTCTCTCAAGCCTTTGGTTAATTAAAGCCTCTAGCGAGAGACTAGGAGGCGATCCCTCGTAGCGATGTCCTCTGCGGTGCTCTCGACCTCAAGCCGTAGGCTCCTTCCGAGCCCTTGGTGAGGAACAGAGAGGCGGTCCCTCGTAAACCCTGGGGACGGGTGGAATGCAGGCAGGTGGTGAAGTCCTCCTCCGGGGCCTTCCGCTCCTGGACGCAGGTTTCACTGCTGGTAAGTTGCCTGGCTCTGGCCTTCGGGTTGATTCCGCTCTTCAGCTGGAACCGGTGATAGACGAGCTACTCCTGTACCCAGACTGGATACACAAAATCCCTAACTAAACTAACACGACGCCTCCCGTCACGATATAATACCCCGGCCGCTTGAGCGTAGAACCGACGCACTATACTAACAGACAGACTCGATGACGAACCTCTAACTAACCTAGCTACCTATAGACATGGACAGGGGGTAGGGTGGAATGCTGCAGAAGAAGCGAACAGCGAACAAAAGGTTAACCAGAACTTAAGTATTCTCTCCCCATGAATATTTATGAGCTGTAGCTTTAAACTCATTAGACCTTGTTTAGGTAAACAAGCGTCTCTGATTGGGTGTCTGAATAAACAGCTTCTAACTGTCTGGGGTGAGTGTACTGTGTGCAGCAGCACATGGTAACATGTGCAGCCACTTGCGTGCCGTGTGCAGCAGAAACTAGAACCATCTATGTAACTATTCATGACAGTTATTACATATTCAGTGTCACTGCTCATGCATATTGATGAGAAGGCGGGGGACCACATTACACAGTGAAGGCTAGAACTTTAACAAGGTTCAAAAAAGAGCTAGACAGATTCATGGAGGTTAGGTCCATCAATGGCTATTAGCCCAGGATGGGTAGGAATGATGTCCTTAGCCTCTTTTTGTCTGGAAATTGATGACAGGAGAGGGAGTGCAAGATGATTATCTGTTGTGTTCACTCCCTCTGAGGCATTTGGCATTGCCCACTGTCAGTAGACAGAATACAGGGCTAAATGGGCCTTTCGTTTGACCCAGTGTGGGTGTTCTGATGTTCTTATGTTATGGTTTTGTGTTTAGAGTTTAGTGTGTGAGGAGGGTGAAAGATATGTGGTTACTATATGGGGGTAGAAGACTGCAAACTGTACCTCTCTTAGGTCTATGAGGGGAGATTTGGGGGCAGGAAGTTCAGATGGAAGCTGTGTCTAGACTACACCTCTCTATCGACAGAGAGATGCAGATTAGGCATGTCAAAATTGCTAATGAAGCAGGGATTTAAATATCCCATGCTTCATTAGCATAAACATGGCTGCCACTTTTTTTGACACGGAGCTTTTTAAAAAAAAAAGGCAGTTTAGCCGGGGATCTGTTGAAAAATAAACCCTTTTTCGACAGATCCTATAAACCTCATTTTTTGAGGACTACAGGATCTGTCGAAAAAGGGTTTATTTTTTGACAGATCCCTGTCTAGACTGCCATTTTTTTCGAAAAAGCTCCGTTTAAAAAAAAGCAGTGGCCATGTTTATGCTAATGAAGCACAGGTTATTTAAATCCCTGCTTCATTAGTAATTTCGACATGCCTAATCTACATCTCCCTGTCAACAGAGAGGTGTAGTCTCGATGTACCAGGAGAGAAGAAGAAAGACACAGGAAGCACCGTGGGGTCTGAAGTCTGGAATAGTAAGGGAGCAACTTATCTGTATTTCTAGGATTCCTCATGGAGTTTTTCTTGGGAAGGAATACTTCCCTGTTTCATCATATATACTGGACCCCTCAAGTCCATTCTGCATTTGGAATTTTAATTTAACTTTAAGTGAAAATCTCAACACAATCTTAACTGTAAAGTTACTATTTACACCATGTATAATGTACACACAATGAAAACATACTCATATGCAGTAGAACACAGTACTATTTTAATAATGCATAGGAAAAAATAAATCACCACATCACAAGAATTTAGGACAGGAAGCACAAAATTTTAGTTGAAAAGACAAAAATAATATTTAGCAAAGCAGAATTATGCACAAATATTTCACACCAGAGCTCAATGTCATAATGCAAGGACTGCATCTGTGTGCATCAAACAGTGTGAAATAGGGCTGGGCAAAATTTAAAATATATCCTTAGTCTTTCGTATGTATCTATAGTCTACTTATAACTGAGGAGATACAATGATAAATAGCTCATTAAAAACCAGGTGGCCTAACTGCTGTGCTTCGAAACTAAGGTAGTGTATGTGTGTGTGTTTCTGTGAGTGTACATACACACATCTCTGCAGTAGCAAATTTTCACATTATAATGAATATTTGCCATGCATTTTTACCCACCTCCATCCATATATAATAGGGCTCACTTTTCCCTGAATTTTGTACCATGTTTGATCAGTTGTTTGTTGTCTGTGTCACACTAGAGTCAGAAAGCACCAGTCATGACCCCATTTTCCTGCGTATGATACAAATGCTTAAGACAACACACTCCCTTACCGAAAGAGGTGGGAAAGAGCAAGATTATGACAAGCTGTTCATTGTTGCTTTTCAGGAGAAAATGCAAACTTCTTAGGGATATCTATAATTATAGCTATACGGCAACATTTATATAATAACTAATTAAAGTCATCAGCGAAAACTCTTCCAATGGCAAAAACCATTGTATGTTAAAAATACAACTACATAATACATTAAAATATTCCATTATTTAAAAACATTAAATCTTGTATTTTCCCCAATATATAGGAAGATTTTAAAGACCAAATTAAGTAGAGGTATACGTGGGAAAAATTACATTAAAGTTAAAAGTAAAGGAGGGTAGGTCTACACTACAACGTTATTTTGAATGAACTTATTTCGAATTAATTAATTGGAAATAAGCTAATTCGAAATAACTCATCTAGACCCAAAAACTAATTCGAAATAGCATTTTTCTAATTCGAAATAGCACATCCACATTGAGTGGACCCTGAATCGAAGGTAACACTTGCCGGAATCAGTGCCAAAAGGGCATCAGGGTCAGATTTAGAGTGTGGGGCTGCTGCCTCAGGCTAGCCGAGGTCTGTGCTTAAGGGGACCTGACTCCCCCATCCCGGACAGACAGGTCTCAGGTTTCTCTGCTTGCTGGTCTACCTCGCTGAGGGACAGCAAAGCATTTGTGTCTTGGAGTGCTCTGCTTGCCCTCACTCAGGACACCATGGCACTTTGCA